GAAAAATCCCCACTCCTCCGAGGCCACTCTCACTTGCTCCACAATCCTCTTTCGATTTACGCCCATGTCCCCCATATCGATCACCGGGACATGGACCGACGGCTGCTGCTGTTGCCTACTTTCCTCTTTCGTCAGCTCGTCTTGCGGCCTCACGAAGATCTCCGGGATCTTCTTGATGCCCGAGTCGACTAGGCCTTTCACGCCCGCGTTCGTTTCGTCGAATGCCTTCAGCATCCTCAGCCTCTCTTCATTTACTGAGGCCATTTCAATTGTTTGTGTGTGTGTGTGTCTGTGTGTGTTAGGTAATATTAAATCAACCCAGTCCGCGTTTTTTTTAATGGGACTTGGGGAAGAGGTCCTTTTGTCACGTGTTTTAATTTTAGCAAGATTCCTTTTGACTTCTCTTTGTTGTTTTATGGAAACATAAGTAGGAAGGTAATGAACGTAAATATTAAAATACTCATGTTCCATGTCGGATTCATCATCCACAAGCGTTGTGCACGTGACAATAATTGAGTTGCTGTTGATTAGAACCAATTTTATTTTTGCCCCTCAAGTTGATATCTATACGAAACGTGCATCATGTCAACTGCACTCTAAAACCAATTGACAATAAAGGGAGTAGCCCACTAAGCTTATATATTGAACTTGAACCCATTAATTTTCCGATGTGGGATTGAGTTTGCACACCCGATCTGGTAGTGAAAACGAGCTCTCAACCCGGTTGAACGGAACTGCTCACGAGTCGGTGAACGACCTGAGAATAGCGTCGGGTTGTCCCGGCGTAGATGTTTCCCTGCGTAGATGTTTTGATGCTTAAGTCAACAATGATGAAGATAAAGATGAATTGTATGTAATTTTTGTAAGTATATTAGAGTGGTAAGAGTTGTGATAGACACCTTTGTTGTCCAAGACTGTCCGACTAAACTGCTCTCGTGCTTGAGCTACCAGATTGTACTGCATGGGTGCTCAGATTTGCCCAATTTTGTTAGCTCACATGATTTTTAATTATGTTCATTCTTATCTATTATATGGTGTGTTTACAATAGTCTATCTCATTAGATATCCTAATTGTGCTATTAGCTTGATTCCCTTGAACTAGATCACTTTTCCAATCAAAATTGATATCCATGTCTGCGATCAAGCATCAATATGTTTAAATTTGAAAAATTCTAAATTTCGAAACATCCAATATTACAAGTAATATTCAAGCGTGAGAAAATTTTCTTAAGTTTGTACAGTATAAATTAGGATAAAGCTATGATGTTTTCATTAAGCAAGACCATCTTCGCCGTTTCCCACGGTCAGCTGGTAATAGTCAAGGCCACGGTAATCGTCAAGTCCGGTGCTAAGGAATTTCGAAAAATATTCACCAACTACAACATCTCGATATATCAGCGGATTTTCTTCCGATATCAGCTCTTTAATCGGGCTGTAAACTTTAGACGCATCAGCAGGCCCAGAGAAAAAGCATACGACCGATATTCTTGGGCCTATGTGGCTGGCTCTCGCCCTATGCTGAACGCTTTTAAATTTCCCGTTTGATACCAACTGCACAAAATGCACAAGCAGAAGGAAAAAAAAAAACAAATAAAAGAAATTATAAAACAAGCATACCAAGTAAACCACTGAATACTTGATGAAAAAATATTAAAATTGCGATTTTCACCACTGAATAAATAAGGTGTACCTGGAGAAGATCACCAATGTTGACTACTAAAGCTCCAGGAGTGGGGTGCACATCAACCCATTGGCCTTGATATAAAGCCTGTAGAGCACTTATGCCTTGGCTTTGCAAGAGAATGGTAAGAAATCCAATATCTGAATGCTTGGATATCCCAATGGCCAGTTCCGGCTGGGGACAAGCCGGGTAATAATGGCAGTGGAGGCGGTGTCCCTTGGAGCACTCCATATTTTCGAGGTGATTAGTTTTGAGCCCAAGCGCCTCGGACAATAGCCCAAGCAGATTATTGCCCAATATTTCTACGTGTTTCGAGTACTCAATTGTGGATTCCCTATCCATATATACACCATAAATTTATACACATTTTGTCTATGTAGTGCACACAAATGTTCCTTAATATGATCCAAAATAATATGACCCAAACAATGTTCAGTTCAGACCAAAATAATATGACCCAAAATGAGAACTTTGTTTATGATCCTATACTAAAATGCTACAATGTTCAGTTCAGACATACATGCAAACATCTCTAGTCAAAAACTCCATAACAAAGACATGAAATTAGAGATCTGCCGCAATTATATTGTTAGAATATCACTTGTGAGTTGTACCACATCATTTATACAAGGAAAATAGGGCTACCTTAAAAGCTTAGTGGACTACTCCTCCCCTCAACCAATTCCTTCAACCAATTGGTTTAGGGATAGAACCTCACTTGGGTTTCATCATCCTTTAACAGTGCGCTTCACGTGCGTGCGTGGGACTGCACCCGTTTGCCCTTGTGATTTTTTTGACAGATTGAATTATTTTATTTTTGTTGGGATTTGGCCCAAAATTTAGATCCCTATCTCAGGCCCAAGGAAGCCCGGCCCAAATCTCGACAGGGCCTGGCCCTCTAACACACAAAATGGCAGGAATTAGTTTGGACCCTTAAATTTAGGGATTAAATCTCAACCCTCCATTACACACCATATATACTCTCTCCTCACTCTTGCCCTAATCAGAACTCATCTCACTTCTCTCTCTCGCTGCTGCGCTCCTCTCTCTCTGTGCGACAGAATTATTCTCTCTCTCTGTGAGGAAACAACCGACGATCGATCCCTCTCTCTTTTCTGTTCTTTGTGACCTTTGAGTGTGAGTACCGCCGTTGTGCCGTCGGAGTGCCGCCATTGTGCCGTCTTCGTCGCCTAGCTTCCCTTCACCGGTTCAAGCCCTTGCGGGGTGCTTTCCGGCGAGCTCCTTTGTGGGAAGGCGAGGCTTTGCGACGGAGGACCGGGTGCGTGGCCGTGTGTGAGGTGCAGCCCGGGGATTGGGTCGAGGAACCGGGGCTGCCGTTTGTTGACCGCCACCGAGCCGCG